AACCCTGCAAAAGCTATGCAGAGCGATTCAAAACAAAACACGAGACATGCTGACTGATTGAATTTTGCTACTCGATGACAATGCAAGGGCTTACACTGCAGCTCAGACTTGAGCTATATTGGACTCTTTTGGATGGGAAGTTTTGGTCCCCCTGCAGCCCAGACCTTGTGCTCAGCAATGTAGATCTTTTCCACTATCTCAAACATCATCTCGGTGGCAACCACTACAATGAAGATGTGAAAACAGTTGTGATTTCTTGGCTATCAGAGCAGGCGGCAAGTTTCTGTGAAGAGGGTATTTAAAATCTAGTTTTAAGACATAAGTGTTTAAACAAACTTGGCAACTATGTTGAAAAATAGAGAAACATATGTAGAATCTAAAAATAAATTTGTTTTTGGAAATTTCTTTTCTTTCGTTTGCTTTTTATTTTCAAATTTTTATTACTTAAAAAACATGCCTTGTATCATGTTTTAAAGTGTCTGTGCCCTTTTATTTTCAGTTTCCAAATATCTTGATTTTCAAATTTAAACAAGGTAAATAAATATTATAAAGCATAATTTCTGAATTACTTTTTAGTAAAAGCAAAAAAGCTACTGTGCATATGTCAAAATTAATGTTATTTATTTAATATTTTATGGAAACTGTTTCCCCCCCCACATAATTTTTTTTAAGTATTCAAATATGCGTTAGCTTTCTCTGTAAAATTGTTTTTTAATGAATTGTCTTAATTTCGCCCCTCAATTTTGCCATTTGACTGGTATTTTAAAGGCTAAAAATTTAGAAAAGGCTCATTACAAAATAAAAATTGTATTAATGACATTAACTCAAAGTAACCATTATTTTACAGTAAGGCTAGGCTGTGATGAGTTTATGATATTGCTTGGAGAATCTTTGAAAAAAGCAGTGAAAGCAAAGCTTTCAAGAATACTACAATACTTTATTATTGTGGCCCTTATTATTTAAATGGTACCAAAAAATTAATGCACCATGCTGAAGCAATAATTTTAGAGCTTTTCTTGTGTTGATCGAATATGTAGCTGTGGTTAGGCCTACCAGCCATTTTGGTAACAATTTGCAAAGAACTTAGAGTTGTCACTTTGACACAGTTTATTAACAAGATGGTCTTGCTGCTGTCAAAACAACAGGATTAAAACCTTTTCTAATTTTAGTCCTAGATGTCTTTCTCTTGATCTCTTTCCTTTATTTTCTCTTCTTTTATGTTTTTAATTTCTTTCATTCAGAAGTAAGTAAAATGGCAAAATTGATTTGGTCATACAGATTGTCATATGGGTAGGCATCTCTAGAAAGGAATTTCTTTGTTAATACAAATATTGAAGCTTGGAAATTAAAAGATTCCTCATATATATCTAAGCTAACATTTCATGAAGTTTTCTGGAATTAGTATTAAGTAGTATTAAAAACTACTGAAGGAATAAGATAACAGGTTCTTCTGCGCATTCATTGTAAATACATGCAGTTTATTACGACAAAAGATTTTAATTAAATCTGCAAGTTCAAAGATAGAAGAGAAAAAGTTTATTACGTAAAGCAAAGGGAAAGTTTTTCTTCAAAGAAATATTGTTGAAAATGTTAACAAATTATGAAATGCTTTAAATAATTCAGACTAGTAGAAATATTTATTAAGGCAAATGAATTTAGAAAAGTAGTTAAGGAGAAATAATTAAATATAAATATTGAGAAAATTTTAGATTAAACAGATTTTTTTTTTTAATAGTGTTATGGATGCTTTGTATCTTTTAGTGTATATTTTGTTCTAGTATCTTCTTTAAACTAATATAATAAATTGCAAATGTATAAATTTTCCTTAGGTAGTGTTTTAATTGTAATGTGTTACTGGGCATTTTTAAAAATAAAAAGGTTTTCACTATTGTAAATTAAAATACGAGTTTCAAAAATGTTCATCATTTAATTATTAGAGTTGACTTCAGACTTGATTTATGTTCTCAGTGTTAAATAATAGACTATTTGATAATAATCCATACTATTGTTTTATGTTTAACCTCAGATTGTGTTTGATGATAATACATGCTACATACTTCTGTTTCATGCTCAGAATAGTTTTCCAGGGTTCAAGGTAGTTGCATCTGTTTGCTTTAATTTATTCAGATCAATCTGCTTGATAGCTACTTAATTTTTTTATGGCCCTTAAAGATCATTAAAATACCTGTAATTTTCATATAAAGAAGTGAGTACAGTAGAAGTCCAGAAATCCGCAATGCTTGAGACAAGAAGTTGTGCAAATTTTAGGATTTTGCAGATTTCAGGACAGAAAAGATAAATCATAATATTCAGAATATAAGTGCAAAATAAATAAAGCATATTAGATACATTTAAATAAATTTTTATATACATTATTACATTAATTTATTTAAATGCATTAAATTATTATTTTATATGTGCATGTATTTATTATATTATTCATCTATAGTAGTGATTACAGATATATTTAAAAGCATTAAGGACATATACAATAGAGACATATATATAAAATGTAAGGGATATTAATAAAGCATAAAATGTTTCATTTTTTTACATGTTTCAACATTTTTCTGATTAAGGTTTGTGTTAAACTCTAGGGTACTCCAAAGTAATTTTTTTTTTTTTTTTTATTTTTTTTTTTTTTTTTTTATATATAGAGTTATAATCTCTAGCTCTGTGACAGAGTTCTATTGTTCTAAAAATTTTAGATATTTTTCTCCATGTTCCAAACCCTTATTAAAAGATATTTTCTCACTCCTATCAAATTCGTTATCTGTGTAGGAATCGTTTTCTTGCTGTGGCAAATAGAGCCAATGATTTCATCATTGGTCATCTGATATGCCAGTTTTGCTGCATCTGAACACATCATCCATTCAATGATATCTTCTTCTTGCAAAGCTTCCTTATTTATTCTTTCTTTCGAATATAAAAGCAATTCTCTTGCTTTAACCCTTGCTGCCCTGACCCTAAAACCAGAAAATTCACTTTTACCACTCTCAGTTTCAATGCACAGTGAAGATGGCCATACATTATGCCAGGAATTTACTAATGTTGTGTGGGAAACAGAATTCCATCATTCAGCTAACAAATAAATGCAGTCTTTTATGGTGAATTTTTTTTTTATAATCAATCACAAGGTGAAACATGATGGCCACTTTAAAGAATTTTTTGTCAGAAACTCTGATTTATAGTGGCATTTAATACTGTGTATTATGGCCTAGTCCATTAGTTGGATCAATGATGTAGTATTTGGAGGAAAAAAAGGGCCACGACATTATGACATGTTTAAATGTTTGCATCTGAACAGGCAGAGCAGTTGTCTGACAATAGTAAAATCATGCAATTTAATGGTAATCCACACACTGTTACAGTGCCTTCTAGTCTCTTTAACGAAATACTCCATGAACCATTTGGTCATGAGTTGTTTCGTGAACCAGGAATTTTTATTATTCCTGTAAATCACAGGTAAGGATTTACTCCTTTCAGAGCTCTGGGATTGATGCTCTTACCCAGCACCCCTGGTTTACATTTGTAAGTTCCAGCTGCATTGCTGCATACAAAAATAGTAACTCTTTCCTTAGCTTCTTTTACCCCTGACAGTGCACATTCTTTGCTTGTCACAAATCTCCTTCTTGGCAAATATCGCCAAAAGGGTCCATTCTCATCCATATTAAAAATCTGTTCTGAGCTAATATTTTCTTCTGCCACTAACACAGAAAATTCATCAATAAATTCCTCTGCTGTTTTATAAATCAGCAGGAATCCGTTTATTATTTTCTCTCAGAAGTGGTCCTGAAATATGGTACCCCATCCTTTGCCGCTGCCGGAACCACTCGTATAATAATAGAGCATCAAGGCTTGCCAATTTCGCTTTAAGGCAAAGATTTCCGGTTTTGAATTCTGGTATTAGAATCACTGCTGCTGTAAAATTCAACAGCTTTTCTTTTATTTTTTCCATATATTATACACGATCAGTGTCGCAATTCCGTATGATTCTGCTATAAACTGAGGAGTAGTACCTGCTTCCATCTTTTGCAAAATTTCCTCTTTTTGTATTACTGTCAATGCAATATGTATACATTTTTCAGCATTGCAAGGAGTAAAATTATGAATGTGTTTCTTAACTGTCATTGTATGAAAAAGGTGCTGAAATTAAAAACATTTTTAATTTATACACAAAATATCTGGAGGATGGAAAGGCAGCATTAAGCAATCTTGTGAAGTAACAAAATCCAACGTGAATCGTGAACTTGAAAGAAAAATTGAGTGAATTTTTTAACCTCGATACAGATTGGAGGGGGAAAAACTTTTACCATGATGTCAATAATTTGGTATTTCTGGCTGTGATATTTCTGTTACGACTCATTATTTTTTGGTAATTATGTCATTAGTAAATATTTTTCTTCAGTATTTTGTTCTGTAGCAGTTTTATGTAGCGATTTCTGAAACCTAAAAGTTGAATGTTTATATTTTGAGAGGCAATGCAGTTTTCAGGAGTTGGCAGATTTTCAGTATTTGACTATACTAATCCAGTGACAAGAAGTTTCTGCTGTTAGAGAGCAGTTTTTTGTAGAACTTTAATCCAAATGTTGCTTAAACTGAGAGTGCAACATAAAATGAAAAACCACTAGTGGTTATTAACTATTCCAAAAATCTTTGTGTAATAATGAACACTATTTCTGTTAACAATAAATTCATTTTAATGTGCAAATTGTTCATTTGTAAATGTGTGTGAATTTGATTTGTTGTAAAATTTATGAAGTTTTAATAGCAATGTAATTTCTTCTTACCTTAAAAATTCTAAGTTAATGTGTTACCTTGGATGCACAGAAATATTTTGAAATTATAACTGTTCTTGCGATGTATATTTTACACTTCAATTTAAATTCTGCATTATTTTTCCTGTAATATTTCTAATTTTACTTGTACATTGTTATAGTGTTTGTTATGCAGCGTTTTATTTTTGCTTTAGATTGTAAATATGTGTATTTAAATTTTAGGGATTTGGGTTTGGACATGTTTCGCACACATATTATATCAAATAGCTTAGTTCAGAATAAGACAGTTGATGGCTTATTACAGCTAATTGAGAAAGAAAGGACTGGAGAAACTGTTGATAAAGGATTGCTTAAAAATTTATCGCGCATGTTATCAGATTTACAAGTAAGTATCATGTTTTCTTATATTTATAAGTGTTTTATTGTTTTTGTAGTTCTTACATTATTATATGTTTCATATATGCAATACACAAAATAATGTAAGAAATTCTTTTCCTTTTTCCCTGGGGGATAATCTCTACTGAAAATGTAACTTTAAATTAATATTCTTAGTTGCATAAGTGCTAGAATTTGTTCTTGAAAGGTTTTTTTTTTTTTTTTTTTTTTTTTTTTTTTTTTTTTTTTTTTACTTTTGAGTTAAATCATGCTATCTTCTTAGCATTCTTTCCACTTTTGATCATCTCTAGAAAATTTAGTTTTTAGTTTTTCCTTTAAAAGCTAAATAGTAATTTAGGCTTGCTCCCTCATTACTTATATGAATGGCTCGGACTCCCGCTTTGAATTTAAAAAATATTATAATTCAAAATGATTTATTTGTAAATTTAATGCTACGCCGCTTAATAACTTAGCTACCAAGCAACAGTTTCTTTCGAAAACCTTCTGTTGTATATTCCTTAGCTACCAAGCAACAGTTTCTTTCGAAAACCTTCTGTTGTATATTCCTTATTAGTTGCAACACATGTAATTTAAAATACATAGGACTGACCAAAAGCAATCTTAATCTTGGAAATGATAGTTGTAGGTTGCACATTAAAATTTTAAAAAAGTAACCGATATACCAACTGTTAGTCAGACTACAACAGAATTAGTATATTTTTATTTTCATGACTTAATGACTTAATGAATAATATTTATATTCAGGTTTTGGACATTGTTCCTAAAATTAAAAATTGACTGTTTCAAAAATCTCTTCTTAATTGGTTACACACCTTCAATGATAACTTTTATTTATGAATTTTGTAAAGATTAAGAAATCGGTATAAGGTATTCATGTGTGATTCAAAAAAAGAAACATGTATAAGGTATTCATATGTCATTAAAAAACATTTTTAATGACATATGAAGGTTACCATATAATTAAGAACCTAGTACTGAAATTTTGGAAATTTTAATTGGCAGGACACAAAATAACTCCAGTAAAACTTCCTGCATCATCTGTTTGACAAAATTAATTACGGTAATATCTTCAAGAGTTGTCAACATAACTTCCCTGCAGTTAATACTCACACTCAGATTTTTTTAAGTATTAAAAAAAATGCTTACTAGCGCAGTAACCATCATGAACTGGACACTAAATCAATTTGATATTGCAAAGAAATTGAATTTCTAACTTTTGGATGCTTATTATCAGCACATGGTCACAGGAAATGTGGATATGGTCTCTAACCTACAATTAAGAAATCTGATGAAACTTGGTACTAAATTCAGGCTAGTCACGAGAATTAGCAAAGAATAACCTCAATGAATTTATTATTAAAACAGACTCTAAACTCAGTCTTCCAAATAATACTTTCTTAGACTGGAAAGGAGTTTTTAACAAAATCAACCTTAATCTCAAAAGGTTCAATTTCACAAGCAATGTCAACCGAAATTCACATAAAATTAATGAGGTTAAACAGAAATTTACAGTAACCAAAATAGATAAAGTGAATATTACCTTCAGTACCACCAGAAAATAATTTACAGCCAACTAATTGAAACAGAATTTAATGAACCAATTAACAAAAAAACCATTGCAAAGTCTCTATTGTCAACAAACTTGTCTTTTCACCGCAGACTTAAAATTTCAATACCACCAGACTGCAACAGATTTTCTAACCTTTATGCTTTACCCAAATTCCACAAGACACCACTGAAATTTAGATGGACATTAATAAAAAGAAAATGGAACTAATAAAAATAAATGGGACTAATAAAAAGAATATTCACTACTTATTTGCCCTCAAGCTTAAAAAAATATTTCAGTTATTCATAAAGCATCACGCATAGATCACAGTTATTATTAGATCCTTAATAACCCCCTTCCAGTTACTAATGCTATTAAAAAGCTTGAAATTAAGGGAATTAACCTCAGTGATTTTGGAAACTTGTATACTACTCTACCATTAAAAGAAATCTTCAGTAGTCTGCTATTATTTCCACACTTATTTCCTGAAATGCTTGCAATTTTAACAGAAGACAAATGGAAAGATTTCTTAAGTTGGACATTCTTTCTTAACTATATTCAATTTGATAAGGTTATTATCAAGCAAATAAGCAGAATCCCAATGGGATCCAATTACTTAACGCAAATTTGTAATCTGTACTTATTTACTGAAGAATTTCAATTTTAACAATCACTAGACAAGACTGCTTGCAGCTGTTTGCAAATACTTAAATGATACAATAACAATGAAAATTCACAATTTACCCATTGTGCTTAATTCTCAAAAAGACCAGCAAAAGTCAACAAGAAATAGAATGTCTATATTTACAATTAACCACACTAAAATTAAACAACTTAATAAAAGAAAAGAATTTAACTTTGCAAATATTAAACTCTTTAATTGTCATACCGACTTGTCCAAAATAGTAAAAGCTAAAACGCTTTGTAATTAAATTACTAGGATAAAAAATATTTCTATGAAGATAGTTCAAAAATGAGTTAATTTTGCTTACAGAAATTCTCCTGAAAAATAACTCCTACAAAGTTCATTCGCTTTTTTCTTAAGAAATCTGGCATTAACTATCAAATGTAATCTTTAAACTAATAACAAAATGATGATATTACCCTTAACTGCAAGAAGGATAAGGCAGAATGTATTTATGTACTATTATTAACATAGCCTATTTAAAAATCTCAGTAGTAGCTGATATTGAGTGAAGATTTTTGAATGTAATTAATTCTGTTTCATTGACTTTTAGCCAAAATAATTTTTGATAAATTTCTTATTTAGCACCAATACTTGTATCAACTATTTTAAGATTCTCTTCCTCATAGAGATAATTTTTCTGTACCTTCACTATGTATGCCAAATGAATCTTTCCTAGCCTTCTATATTACAATCATAAAAATGCAACCGGGTGGGGCACTACTACTACTTGGCGTATTTGATTTTTGAAAATTGCTAATTACTGAGGTTCTATAATGATTTCGCAAAAAAATTTTGTTTATGGCCCTAGTTTTACACTTGTTTATTTAAAAGAGCGTATTTTTACTTTTTCATGTTGTAAATAAATATGTGATTTTAGTTTGCAGGTTTTTTTTTTAACTTAATATTCAGCTTTTGTGTATTTTGGTTCACATGTTTAGACCAGCATTTAGTTTATTCAATATTTGCCCAAAATGTAGGTTTTTATTTCAATTTTTTTAATCAGATTGTGTCGGAATTTTTGTGATATGTATGAAATAAGTTGAATTAGTTTGATGAATATTTTTTAATTAAATTTGATTTTAATGCATTCAAACTTGTGAGGGGATAAAAGTAAATCAGGTCTCCAACTTGTTGGTTTTATAGAGAAGAACTAATTTGCCTTCAAAAGTCTTTTTCCGGGAACTCAGCAATAATTACTTACTGATTATTATTTTATTGTCTCTTCTGCAAGATTGCGTGCACAAGTTGTTTTTATTAATTGCTAATTTTATAATAGTTTGAACTCTACATCTCCCAATAGGGTATTCACAACAGTTTTTTTTTTTCCTTAGGGAGTAATCTTTATTAATAACTTTCATATGTGTGATAGATAATATTCTGTTACACACCAGAGATTCAAAATTACTTAATATCTAGTTTCTGTATGTGTCACTAAAACAGCTTTGAAGTATAAAAAAAAAACTCTTTCTTATGTTTTGTAAGTCATTCTTAACCAAACGTGCCATTATAGGCATAGTAAATTATATTAAGACATAGATAAGAAAACCATTAAACATTAGCAGGTATAGATAGTTTTCTAATCATTAGCAGATCTATATGGAATATGTTTAATATAGGTACTAAATGTTGAATTTTTCTGAATATAACTATTTAGTGCTTCTTAGCGAAAAAATTACCTAAGGAATATTATTTTCTTGTATACTTTGTTTTTGTCTTATGGTGTATTGTAGTGCATACTGAGGTAATACTTAACCATTTAACATTATTCTCAACAGAAAGAGATTTGTCAAAACCAGGTCATCCCAGACCAGTCATTGCAGGTCCATTTTTTAAATTTTTATTCTCATTTGATAGTGAAATGTGATTAGCATGAGTACTTCAGTCCTAGTTGCAGAAAGGTGCAAGGGGTATCGTATTTTTTAATATATTGCTCCAGCATCTAGCATGAAAATTATTGATAAATCCACAGTATTGTTAAAAATACTGAACAGCAAGTAAGAGACTTTTCAACTCTGGTAGTTTTTACTAGATTATATTCTTGAAAAAATAGAATCACTCTATCAGCTTTTCATAGCTTTTTGTGTGTGTGTGTTCTGATTATGTAGCAGTCTCCCTCCTCTCCACAGAGGCATCTGTCATGAGATAGGTTGTCCTGAAGCCTCTTATTCTCACTGATGATCCCATTCAGAATACATAGCAGTATCACTTTTGTAAATGATTTCATCTGTGAACAACAGTATATAGTAAAAGGCATTTATGCAAGCTTGAAGATGATTGTGAAGTGCAGATGACAGGTTATCATGAGTTAAGTGATTTTCTTAAAGGTGTATTGGTAAGTGCTCATGGGATGGTTCATACCATTTTGGAGATAACAAAGTTTGGATTTTAAATGCTTCAAAGATATATATTGAACAGAAGAGTGCCAGTAAAATGTTGAATGTTCATAGCATTCAAGCCATCAAAAATTATAGGATCATTAGAGATGTGTCTGTCAAGAATCACTTCAAGCAATAAGCATGTATCCACATGAGGTGGGAGGACTACACAATGTTTCCTACATGCTATGGGCTTTATTTAATCTCTGATGCCCAGTGTGAGAGGCTTTGTGACAAAGGGCTGTCTTTATTTGCCCTATTGAACATGGCAGCTGATACACTGAAAATGAAGAGTCTGGTCTGGCAATTGCATTTCTAAATAGCTTGGACAAATAGAGCAGTGCATGTGGAAAGAACCTTATTGAATTAATGTATAT